GTGTGTGTGTTTGTGTGTGTGTGTGTGTGTTTGTGTGTGTGTGTGTAATGGTATTCACCAAATGTCCCCACAAGGATAGTAATACCAGTAAATTTTGATCTTGTGGGTCCCCATGAGGAAACAAACTTATAAATCACACAAAATGAATTGTTTTGAAAATCTAAAAATGTTTTGTGTGAGGGGTAGGTTTAGGGTAAGGGGATAGAAAATACAGTTTGTACAGTAGAAAAACCATTTGGCCTATGGAATGTCCCCATAAAACATGGAAACCTGTGTCTGTGTGTGTTTGTGTGAAAATATTCAGATGTAACCCCCTTTTAAATACACATTATTTCTCAATAACTGTAAACGGATTACAGTTACATTTATTTTATAATTACATTACGTAATTCCGTTACATGTAACTAGTTACTCCCCAACACTGTATTTAAGTGCACAGTTGCCTAATGCAAACTGTGATTAAGACACATTCTGTGGGCATATTTGCAGCATGAAGCGGGTGTTAAAGGGATAGTTCACCCAAAAATGTAAATTCTGTCATCATTTACTCACCCTCATGTTGTATGACTTGCTTCTGTGGAACATAAAAAAAGTTATTTTGAGAAATGTCTTAGTGTTTTTGTTTTGTTTGTCCATAGAGTGGAAGTTAAATTAGATTCTTGTGTGAACTAGCCCTGTAAAACAACATAGACGACGCATGCAAATAAACACTATCAACAAGCTTGTGTTCACACTTTCTTGTCTTCTGGAAGTTGAATGACTCCAAATAGAATAAAGAATTATAAAAACACATGCATCATCTTCAAGCCCTGCTTTTTTATTTAGACTGTCTGAATGTGTTTCGAAATCAAACTCGCCCCTTTTATTTCGCCGACAGATCGCCCAGGTTTGACGAGCGTAGAGCGGATAGAGCGCTGTCAGGAGGAGTTCCTCTTGGCCTTTGAACATTACATCAACTACCGCAAGCACAAGGTGGCTCACTTCTGGCCCAAGCTGCTGATGAAGGTGACAGACCTGCGCATGATCGGTGCCTGCCATGCCAGCCGCTTCTTGCACATGAAGGTGGAGTGTCCCACGGAGCTCTTTCCGCCCCTCTTCCTGGAAGTGTTCGAAGACTGATAGCCAACCAGTCAGGCCAAGCTGCTCCCACCAACACGACCTCCACAGATCCGACCTCCCTTCAGACTCTGTTCCCGGTCACATGACTCTGTTCCCGGTCACATGACTCTGTTCCTGGTCACATGACTCTGTACTAGCACTACTGAGCGTCAGTTCATTCCATAGTTTTAGGAGTAGCTCTCTGGCCTATTTTGAATGGAACCATTCCTTTTACAAAGCGGGTACATGTGAATAGCGTTACAATTGTTTTTTCACTCTTTGTAAAAAGAAAAATCACCTTTCTGTTACTAGTTTTGTTTTTTTTCCTCCAATGTTAAATAGTTTTATTTCTGATCTGATGCCGCTTAATGGAGATGTTTGAACTATGCATTCGGGTTTCATGTCACACGTCAGGCCTCAGAAAAGAGACCGCACTGCAAAGAAGGATAGCAATATTTGGTTTGCTTTCATGTCCCTTATCTGTTGGTCTAATGGTATTTCATGCTCACATTAAGCCATAGATTGTTTATAGTTCTGGTCCAAACCCCAATGAGCTGACTACCTAGACAACATTTCAAGACATCATAGGTGCATCCTTATATTGAGACTGTAAAAAAGCAAAATCACGGATGAGGGCTCTTTCATAGCTCAATTGTTCACTTAATGGAAAGCCAATACTGACATTTGGTGACCTTACATTTTCCTGCTGCTCTTGAGAGCGAGATTACAGTAATATTACATTTCATCTGCCTCACAAATTGGTGAAAAATACAAAATTCATTCAACTTCAATATGAACTCATCAAATCCTACCAGTACCAAATGATCTGAGCTGCTATCCACGTTCATTTTATCTTGTGCATCTCATGTTTTCTGACATTATAGGACAAAAAAAAAAAATGTAGAAACCACTGAAAATTCCAAAAAGCAACTTCAGAGCAAAAAAATGTGGAAAGTACAGTAGGCATAAAATAACACTGCCTTCTAATGTCAGGTATACACTATATGATTTTCAAAGGTGTCGGATCCTTGTTCCTTTCACACTACATGGCTTTTTTTGAAATTGCTACATAATATTTCAAAAATCGCGAGTAGTGACAAGAGAATGACGCAAGACTATGACTCCTCCCCTTGAAATTTCCCATGCCCTGAATCGTGCTCTCTCATTGGCTGTAGGTCGTCGTGATGTCATTTCCAGTCAAAACACATTTTCACCCTGCAAGACTCTGAGGCACAGACAGCTCCAGAAGTTTGGACAATCCCAAATGTTTGCTAAAATGGCGCTTCTCTCAGATCGTGTCTTTGATAATGTGCACCGATTTGCCTCACATTTCAGGCTTTTGTCGGCGAGTGAAAATCGGGCGTAAAATCGTGTCGCGTATACAGCATTGCATGTGACATGTTTTATTGTCTATTGCCTACATATGCTATTTTCAAAGCAGCTCAGGGTTTTGAAATCAAAAAAAAAATTTGGGGAAAAAATAAGAATTCTGAAAAGGTCAGTTTTGATGGTGGTTGTGCCCTTGAGTAAAATCCTGTTTCTTTGTTAGTGCACCTGAAAGCTTACTGGACAGGCAGGCCTTCGTGATCCTGAAGTCAGGAATTAAAGTGTTCCGTCGCCACGACGGATTTCCATCAGTTCATAAAGAGAGTCACTTGCTTCATTCCTGAATGATTCAGCCGTTCGAATTAATCAATTGAATGAATGACTCAGTGATAAAATCAGTGACTTGCTGCCAGCTGCTGGCGGATTTAGTTTCATTTTTAGCGTATAATTTCAGTTATTTAAATCATATTTCTGTATTCAAAATGTTATATTTAAAACATTAATCGCCACATTAATTTATGAATTTAATTGCACTCATGCTACCTCTGAGCCTCATTAAACGTCTGAAAATGTACCTGCAAGCCACTTTTGTGTTCTTCTGTGCCACCTCTGTAGTACAAATTAATTTATTGATACTAATTTCATATGATTGGTAACTTATTTGTCTTATTCTACTTATTATATTGTTTTAAATAGAAATTTTAAAAAGCTTATAAACACAATTTTTTGAATTTAACATAGATGAAAATGATGCCATTACAAAGTTAAAAAGAAATACAAAAATATTAAATGATTTAAATAACTGAAATTATACGCTAAAAATGAAACTAAATCCTTCAGCAGGTGGCGGCAAGTCACTGATTTTATCACTGAATCATTCATTCAATTGATTCGTTCGAACGGCTGAATCATTCAGGAATGAAGCAAGTGACTCTCTTTATGAACTGACGGAAATCCGATGTAGCGACGGAACACTTTAATCCCTGTGAAGTTAAAGTTCACATAAAGAGGAAATTCCAAGTTGTACATAACAGATTTTTCGGTGATCTCAAATGTTGGTCTTCCTAAACTTGCCCCTTTAGCCAGCAGCCACTGACGTTAGCTCATTATGCCTCTATTAAGGTGCCAAAAAACTCCCTCTGTTTGGACTTGTGTTGAGCTGCTCATAGGAACTTGAGGTCATGATTTTATAGCCAGCCATCACTAGATCCATTGACCCGCAGGGATGGGACTCTGTTCAGCTGAACGCTTCTTCTCTTCTCTAGCTGGCACACGAGAGACCAAGGCAATGCTTCTGCTTGAACTTGTTGGTGCTACGAGTTTGCCGTTATACCTCCGGGAGAGCTGTCTGGGTGATTAACATGCAAATACACAAAACTCTGCGGTCAGTGGTCAACCCTGCAACATACATGTGTTTATGATTGTTGTTTCAGCCGTTCTCCTCTGTCCTGGTTTTCTTCTTTTACTGTAGTGTTTTTAATCTTTCTCGAGACATCCTTGTGTGCTGCAAAAGAGTTCGACTCTCACATACCTCTACTGATTATCAGGAACCGCCAGTTGTCCATCTGTTTGTTTGTTTGTTTGTTTTTCTATTGCTGTTGAAAGATGGACATGAATTCAGATTCACACCTCAAAACGCAGAGCATGTTCAAATGAATTGCTCCAGTGGTTTTACATGTTTTGGATTACACATACAAACGTACACGCCAACGTAGATATTCAACAGACTCAAAGTCATTGCACAGACAATCAATGTGTTCGCAGAGAGTGTTATAAAAAGATGTGGAGGGAAGTAAGGGCCACAGCCAGGGTCCAAAATTAATATTTTGCCACACCTGACAGTGTTTACTCTTCACTAAGCTCCTGATTTACTGATTTACATCATGCATTATGTTGCTGTGTCTTATGTACTTGACAAAGGCTTTTTTTTTTTTTTTTTTGCCAAAAGTTAATTTTGGACCCTGGCCACAGATTGACGCATGCATGCACAGACACGCTGGGAGTCAATACTATTTCCTCTGAGCACACAGGTAAAAAATAAAAAAAAACACTACAAAACTAAAGATATTTATGGTGTAAAGGAAAGAGGTTGTATTTTTTTCAGACTGTAGATCTTTTTTACATGTTAAATGCACAATATGAACATTTCTGAACAGTTTTACAGCAAGGAAACAAAAGACTGTCTTTTCTCAAAAATCTCAACAGAAACCAGAGTCCTGTTTTTGAACAAACTCTCTTTAATGATCTCTCCTTAGTGTGTTTCATCATTCCAAATTCATTGTTTAACTATGTTAATGACAGCTAATATATACTATCTATTAATAATCATAATTTAAAAACAATGCACAAAAAGTGATGCTTATTGGATGGCAGGTTAAAACCTAAAGCCCATATTCGGAGAAACAGCAGATCTCACCAGGCTGCACTGTAAGAAATGCATCCTCAGAAGCGACTACAGCACATGTACTTCTGTTTCTATGTGTCTTCGTTAACATTTGCCTGATCACGCCCACAGTATGTTGGTGGCATAAGTACACTTTGAATATGAATCAGTTATCCAGCATTACAAGAAAATGTCATTTACTTTCTCTTTTTCTTTTTTTTTTCTTTTACCAAATTGAAGGTATGGCACAAGCTTGCTGTGTGACAGTGGAGCTTTGAATTTGAGTTTGGATCATGATGTGATTGGGATATCCTGGAAGAGACATTGCACTAGAAAATAATCCTGGATTTGGCAAATGATGATGACGATGACATTTGCACCTAAGGTGAATAGGAGAATAAAGATGGTTTTGAGAAACCCCTGAAATATTCGTTGTTCTGTGTGTAGTACATGAATAATGTGAGATTCTGTATGCATTGTTATGGCCTTTAATTAATTAAATTGATATATATATTTAGCGGTTTTTATTGATTTTAGTAAATGAGAGTTTCATTTATAATGTCAAATTTTACGTTACAATATTTTGCATGAAAAGCCTATCCAGTTGCACTCTCGGATATCTTAACTTGACCTTCTGTGAATGCACCGGTGAAAACAATTTCAGCAGAATGTGATTGGTCACAGCCATCTGAAAAGACACATGACCAGACCTTTAATCACAACCAAAATGTTTTAATAAAAGCAACCCATTGCTGAAGATGAAACTCTATAAATAACTATTTTTAAATGTCAAATTACTATATATAACATTAGCTGCTGCAAAATTTCAGGAAAAAGGTCTCAGAATTTCACATTAACATTTGATGTGTCCAGAGCCTTTGATATTATGAAACAAATATAACTTAAAAGCTTTAAAAAAAAACAAAAGCTCATTTGTGCATCAAAGATACTTAAAGGGTTCATATGATGTTGCTAAAAAGAACATTATTTTGTGTATTTGGTGTAATGAAATGTTTTTATGCGGTTTAAGGTTCAAAACACATTATTTTCCACATACTGTACATTATTGTTTCTCCTCTATGCCCCGCCTTTCTGAAACACGTCGATTTTTACAAAGCTCATCGGTCTGAAAAGCGAGGTTATGCACCAAGAGCTTGTAACACTCCAAAGAGAAAGGAAAAATTTTAATCGCATCATATGACCCCTTTAAATGAAATATCCTCCATCTTTTCATTTCATTAGTCTAGTTGTAAAGTTATGCTTATGTTTTAATATGCAATTAATTGTGTAAAATTTGTACTGTATTTTTTAATGGAAAAAACTTCTGTTTTTACACAGACTGTGGCACAGTACCCATACTTTATTTCTAGTATTATCCCACTACCCATATTAGTCCTATTTTAACCCCACAGTGCACTGCTGTACATAAGTGTAATTAAATGATGCCATCTACTGGACAATATCACTACACATTTAAAATGAAGCCATTTTCTTTTTACCTTTGAGTGTTTATATACAAAAAATGTTGTATTGGTGCAATTGCCATCGCTTACCTAACAGTTCATCCTGGGTTGTCATGGAAACAGTCCTCTCATCCAGCACTTCTTGCTGCTAGGCTACAACTGACCCACACACCTGTCGACTGCCCTCATTTTTCCCGTTTCAAACAGAACACAGGGATCATTTAGATGTAACCTGGAATTAGTTCAATGTGCAGAGGTTCACTAATTCACATGTTCTGGACATGTCCTAAAATCTACTGACCATCTGTATCTGAGACTCACAGCACAGCCTCTGTGCGTCTCAACACGTGGTGGTGTTTCGTTGAATTAATGACTTTGTGGTTCTGAACAAAACAGGTGAGTCAATGATTCAATTAATTATTCATAAAGACAGTCATTAGATTCGTTACTGAATGAATCAGCCATTTGAATTAATAGTTTGAATGACTCAATTCAAAATAGCGTACTATCATACTATTATTATTTTGGCCATTTAAAGATGTGAAAGAAATAGTAAAGGCAGTATGCAATTTTAAACTCAGCATCAGTGCCTCACTCATTAAGACTTGCTGCAACCTACTGGTGGTTTTATGGTCATATTCATTTCATTCAAAAAAAAAAAAAACATTTATTTTGATTCAAAAAACATTAATCTCATATCATTATTTATGCAATTGTAATTGCAGGGTAAATGCATTCATGCCACCTCTGAGCTTCATTAAACAATCTGTGTAAAAATACCTAAAACTCTATCATCGAAGACCGCATCTGGTACATGAAACAGCTACAGCTGAAGAAATAAAAAAAAAAAACAGATGTATAACTTGCAAAGCTGATTTTACAACTTTTTAAGTTCAATTTATTAGTAAAGCATTTTAATTGCGATAGAGTGCACCAAAGTGCTGCACATTAAAACCCATCTAACAAAATGTCATTTTTGCTTATTTAACCTCAGTGACAATCAACAGTTCATCATCAAATCATATAACAAATCTAGGCAGGTTTCCTTCCAAATATACTTTAAATCCCTTTTAAAGTGCAATGTCTATATAACTCAAAGTAGCCACAAACATACCTGCCAAATACATACATGTAAATATGAAGTCTTTATTTGCCTGTATTTCTGGATGTTCGGAGCACAAAAAAGAAAGGGGAAATACTTTTGCTCATCTTCTACCTGACAAATGCTTTGCTAGGTTTCTGAGAGTCTCCTGCTATGGATATTTTATCAGAGCGTGTAAGAGTGTGA